AGACACCGATGATGTCCATGAGAGTGCGGACTTGAGAGCACCTCATCATTCCGCGCATCCTCAGAGCAAGTCGGAGTAAAGATCTGCCTGCTTCCATATTCTTCTCTTCAACTGTTTTATGTGTGACCAAAATCTATAACACAGTGCCCCATGATATGTCCGCGCTTGGTTAGGCACAAAATTATCTTATCATTGGGGCATGTCTGCGGCCAGCTTGATCAACTACCAGAAAACGCGCTTGGAAAGACTGATGTCTTCCTCTTGGACTACCAAATGTTACAACGGCGCAACGAAAGTGATCACCAAATGACTGAACATCTCACCCTCTACATTACTCATATGCATCTTGCTCCTGGGCGGTGTTAGTGCAGGGCTGAGTATATAAACGCCTCTCTCGCTGATGGACAACTCTTCCATAAACAACACCTAATCTACGTGTTTCCAAAACGCGCCATCAAAAAGTGGCATGGAGTTTCGTAGTCCTTCCTTCTCCAAAAAGCCTGTCCGCACATCTTTATGAGCATTTTTTAGCAGCAGTCTCGGTCTGCCAAAAGCCTTTTCGCATGGCCATATGGTCGTGCATCTGCACTACAAGAACATACCATGCTGAAGAGATGCGAAACTACCCGCCATTTCATGCGCTGACACTCAGCGAACCTAAACATCGTGATGGCTGAGTACATGAGACTTGGAAGTATAAATACTTCCTCAACGTCTGCCACTCTTCTCCTTCCGCAATCTCAACTCCAATCTTTCCTTTTGAAAAGAACAAATTCAATAATCATGAGGAGCCACCTGTGTCTCCGCTTACATACTCATTCAAAACACCTACACTTTTGCCATGGCTTTCTCTCGCGTAGACAGATGTGAACATCGACATATCGAAATGCGATGGCTTTGCATGAGCAAGACTAAAACCAATTTGGAGTCTACGTATGCGAAGCGTTCCGATGAGTTCAATTCTCATACCTGGTTTCCCGAAAAAGAGCACGCGAACCAGTCATGCGTGGTGAGAGCTTCTTCCAGCTCATATAAAACCCGAAGTTGTTCAACTTTCTACTTGCCTCCACTTTCTGTTCAAAACCCTCCATGCTCTTCAAAATCATGGTTCGCCGATGCTATGCGCGGCATTCTTCCTCTCCAAAACAACAATATGTATGCATATGAGCATTGCTTCTCCCACCTTTACCAACACATTCAATACCCATAAGAAAAGCCTATACCGACCAATAATGTGCGTCAAGCGCTCAGTCGCGCAGTATACAACATCGTCTTTGGCTCTCTTTGCCTCAAAGCTTCTCTTACCACCCACGCCTCTTTCGTATTCTCCAAAAGCACATGAAATGGTCGACATGTGAGCGACTGCTGCGCGTCTTCCAAAGTGACTTTTACCACTACCTATGAAAAGCGACTTCGGATTTGAATCTACATACTGAGTATTAACAAAACAACTATCTATCGCATCGATGTGGGAGTAGATCGTCTCTAAAATAGCATATAAGCCTGCGCTCGCTGCTTCTCTTCGTCTTTCTCTCTACACCTACGCCTCTTTCCAATCTGACAAAAATGTTACGGCGTCACAGATATGTTGTCCGGGTCGCGGTCTCCCTCTCGAAAATCCCGTGGGTATTGGCGTATGAGAAGCTTGTCTCCACCCCTTTTGCGAAGACATCGAAAACTAGAAATACCTCCCAAACGCATCCATGTGCGCCTGCCAAGCGACCAAGACGTTATAAAATGTCGCGCTCGCCTCCCGCTACCTCCTCTCTACATTCGCAATCCTCTTGCATTATCCAAAAACCATGTGCGCAGGTCCCATGATCTTGTTCTCTCCGAGTCAAAACATGGCGCTATTTCGACATGTGAGGATTGTTCGTCCGACTCCCTCGATGAAGACACCGGGTACCATAAACTTCGCCATACAGCATCCATGTGGAGTGGGCAAGTGGATTGAAGTTACGTGTCCATGTATTCATGTCTCTTCTCCCGCCTTATCCTGAAAATCCACTTCTACATTCTTCTGTCCAAAAAAACATCAACATACTTTGGATGTTGCGCAAAGAGCCATCCCTCTGTTCCAAAAAGAATTCGAGACTGCGATATGAAAAGTATCCGTCGAACTGTTCAAAAAGGATTTCGGGTATCAAAAAAAGTTGGCAGCACAGTACATGTGCAGCGGACGGGTTGCGACACGGGTATATAAACCGTCTCTCGCCTCTTCTCTGCCTTCTTCTGTACATCCACTTCTACCTTGAAAACTCCAAAACAACTGAGGTCCAGCTTATGTGGTGCGAAGTGCCTTGCCCCTCTCTTCTTCAAAACGACATAAAGAACTTCTCATGAGAGACGTCTCTCCAAACCCCCCATCAACATACCCACTACCAAAAAATTACGACGAAGGCATCATATGCGGTCGGCACGTGGGCAAAGGCGTATAGATACCTCCGCTTGCCTCTCTTCTCCCCTTCTCCTCAACATCCACACTTCCTTCTGTTTCTCCAAAAACACCGGAGGGCCCGCTCATGGTGTGTGCTGGTGCGCTTCTCTTGAAACGTGAAGCCAAGTGTACATGAGCTGTGCTCTTCTTTCTAAAAGCCCACTTGTTTTGGGATATGAGCTGTGCTCTCCTCTCCAAAATTTCTCCACGAACTGGCGATGAGGCGTGCTCTTCTCAAAATCACAAATGTACAACGTATGTGGTGCGTGCTGTTGTGCTGTTTTCTAAAAGCAGCCGGAAGAGACCTAGATGCGGTGCGTCCGTTGGGTCGTTCTGTGCCCTTCCTAAAAGCCATCATGTCTACGCGATGTTTCGTCCGCTTCGACAATGAGCGTATATACGATAATTGGGTCTGTGGACTGTTATTTCGACCGGATCATAGTGTTGTGAGGATGGTGATCATCATCATCAGCAAGCTGGGTCAGTGGTCACACATCGGCGGGGTAAGCTGTCAGCGTCTCGCACCACTCCTCACATCACCGCACACCAGATTCACACCGCCATACGCAGAAGAAAAGCATTCCAAGACCAACAAACTTTCATAAGACACACCGCTTGCTTAATTCGGCTTCCATCTATCTACAAACCTATCATGCACAAACGTGGTCAGCCAGCAAAGGGTTCATGCTGAAAGAGTTTAAATACCAAGAGTGAATTCGACACCGACGTCGATGTCGCGGGCCATCTTGACGACCTTTGAGAACTGGACGGACTTCTCAGCGGCGGCTTGGAGATCGTCGATGGAGAAGATCTTGAGGCCTGAGTCGTTGAGCTGGAACATGACGTGTTAGCATGACTGCATGTCAAATTTGTTGTTCTGGTGTAACTTACGAGCTTGTGAGCAGCCTCCATGTTGGTACCCTGCAACCTAGCAATAACAGGAGTCTTGAGGTTCATCTCGTTGACAACCTGGATGAGACCCTTGGCGATAGCGTCGCAACGGACGATACCACCGAAAATGTTGACGAAGATGGCAGTAACCTTGGGGTCGCTGGTGATCAAGTCGAACGCTTGCCTGATAGCCTCAGGTGTAGCACCACCACCAACGTCGAGGAAGTTAGCGGGCGCGCCGCCGTTCAGCTTGATGATGTCCATGGTGGCCATGGCGAGACCGGCACCGTTGACGAGGCAGCCAATGTCACCGTCGAGCTTGATGAAGTTGAGGCCAACCTTAGCGGCCTTGACCTCCTCGGGGTCCTCCTGGGTGATGTCCCTCCACTCGAATACCTCCTTCTGGCGGAAGTCGGCGTTGTCGTCGAAGTTGAGCTTGGCATCCATGGCGAGGACCTGGTGGTCGGTGGTCTCAGAGAGGGGGTTGATCTCGATCTGAGTAGCGTCCTTCTCCATGAAGACCTTGTACAGCTTCTGGATGGTGTCCTTGGCGTCCTCGATGCACTGCTCTGAGAAACCGAGCTCGGTCGCGATGTTGCGGGCAATGTCGTCGGTGACACCCTTGTGGATGTCGATGGGGGTGGTGATGATGGCCTCGGGGTGCTCCTTGGCAACAGTCTCAATGTCCATTCCACCTTGCGACGAAGCGACGATTACGGGTCCTTGTGAAGCGCGGTCCATGAGGATGGCGAGGTAGAACTCGCGGCGGGCGAACTTGCGGTCGACGATGAAGACGGAGTTGCAGAGCCGGCCGGCGGCTCCAGTTTGCTTGGTGATGAGCTTGTGGCCGATCATCTGGTCGGCGAGGATGGAGGCTTCGCGGGGACTGCATGTTGTGTTAGAGGGTGGCCGGGGTCGTGTTATGGTTGCGAAGTAGCATACGAGTAGACGACTCTGACACCGCCCTTGAAGCCATTGTCAAAGGTGCCCTTTCCACGGCCTCCAGCGAGAACCTGGGCCTTGATAACAGCATCCTCTCCGCCTGCGCGCATTAGCCCACGACTCTGCATTCACTCTTGCTGTCGCATACCAATCTCCTTGGCGATCTTCTCTGCCTCGGCGCCGCTGGTAGCGACACCACCCTTGGGCACGCCGATGCCGTACTGAAATTCGCATTAGATATCTGGACCCTCGAAATTGGTGGACATGCGGTGGAGTAATCGTACCGACTCGAGCAGGGCAGCGGACCTGTATTCGTGGATGGCGAGACCTCTCCTTTGCTGGACGACAGAGCGCTTCAGCGGTGTCTCCTAGGCCGTGTTAGCACTTGACCCCCCAATGTGGTGCACGCTGCGTAAGAGGCTTTCGCAGCTTTGCGGAGTAGGCCCGTGGACATACAGCAGCGGCGCGGACAGCGCGAGCCAGCGGCCGGGCGCGGGCAAAGTTGTACATGATGTCTGAGCGGCAGACACACGTGTGGGTATATAGAGGGGAGTTGGGAGGGGGTAGAGCTGGAGTGCACAGCTCCGTTGGTGTTGCGGCTTCACAGGGCTGTTGCGGACGTCTGCTAGCGCGCCGAGAATGAACCGGGTCCTCTCAAAAATATCGCGGCCGGGAACTTCTGTAACACCAAGCGACTGGACCTGATGCGCGTCGAAGTAATCGCGCAACCATGTCTAAACGGAATAATGAGGGCGATGTCATCGCAAATCGCATAAGTCTGCTCGAGGCAAAGGGTCAGAAACTCTTGGCGTCGCTCTATGGGTCGCGGCCGGATTGGGGCACTGCGGATGGTGATGCGAAAACACAAGTTGAAGACGATGATCAAGATCTGAAACAAAGTTACGCTCACGACAGGTAAACATGCGTTGTTGTGTTGCCGATCGCATCTCTAACAGTATCCCCAGAATCGGTGTTGGCGGCATAGTTCCTAAGGATATCGAAGATGGCAGCTTTACCAGCAGAATACGAACATCAGACGACAAACTTCTCCAACAACTGATTGGTAAAAAGAAAGCAAAAGCCCACATTACTGCGAAACAAGAAGCTGCGAGACCGAATGCAGCCTCAAAAGCTCAACATTACAAGAAGCTTGCTGCTAAGAAAGAAGAGTCGGACGATGACGAAGAGGGAAGGGCTGCGACATTCAAATCTAAGAGACAGAAGAAGAAGGTGAAGCAAGAAGCGAAGCCGTCGGACAGCGACAACGAAGATGAAGAGACGAGAGCAAAGAGATTGGGAGGTGCCGCTGTGAAAGAAGAGGAGGATGTACCAAAGGAGGACGTAGCTACAGAAGCCCAGGTAGACGCGAAACCTATCAAGAAAGAAGAGGAGGGAGAGGAGGACGCAGAAGCCACCCAACCAGCACCCAAGAAAGCGAAGACAAAAGCGAAGAGCTTCCTCGACGAGATTCTAGCTGAGCGGTCAAAGAAGAAGAGTAAGAAAGGAAAGGCATAGAGGGCGATGAGCTTAAAGAGAGCGATGTGCATTCAGCAGCGTTAATATTTCCTTACTTTGATACCCAGTTGCCTCGGAGGGAGGTCCAGTGCAAAGGTCAAACAGCAAGATACCTTCAATCTAATATGGACAAGTTTTGATTCTCAGCTATGTCGTTGTCTACTCCCTGATAATCAAACTAGCCATCCCCATACCCGTCCCAATGCACTTACTCAACACACCAACCTGCTCCCCACTCCTCCCCATCTCATTCAGCAACGTAGCCAACATCCTTCCACTCGTCGCTCCCAACGGATGCCCCAACGCAATAGCTCCTCCATTCGGATTCACCTTGTCCATCTTATTTTCCAATCCCAGTGTCCTGATACAATGCAAAGCCTGACTAGCAAACGCCTCGTTGATCTCCCAGACATTCACATCGGATGTTTGCAGGCCAGTGTAATCAAGCAGCTTTGGAATGGCTAACGCGGGTCCGACGCCCATTTCGTCAGGCGAGCAGCCAACGACCTGTGTGCCCGCCCATTTACCGATAATCTGGGATTCCAGACCGAGGGTCGTAGCGGTGGACCGACGCATCATCAGCGCTGCAGACGCGCCATCGGAGACTTGACTGCTGTTTCCCGCTGTGCTTGTGCCGTCCTTGATAAACGCAGGTTTCATCTCCGCGAGTTTCTCAACCGTTGTTCCAGGCCTGATTCCATCATCCTTCGTTACGGTGATGCTTTTTGTGTTCTCGGGGACTTCGGGCTCGATCCATCGTGTAGTTACGGGTACAATCTCGTCGTCGAAGAGGCCGCTTCTCCGTGCTTTGGCGGCGCGCTGTTGTGATTCGGCGGCGAAGGCGTCTTGGTCGGCGCGGCTGACGCCGTAGCGTGATGCGACGTTTTCCGAGGTTATGCCCATGGCCATTATGCAGTCTCTGGCTTCCTTTACTGGGCTTTCTTTCATCTCAGGCCAGAGTTCGGTGGGTACGGCCCTGCTGCCGTAGTTTCGTGTCATGCTCTCCATGCCGCCTGCAATGCCGACGTCTATTTGTCCTACTGCGATTGAGTTCGCGATTGAGGTTATAGCGGAGAGGCCGGATGCGCAGGCGCGGTTTACGGTGCTGAAGGAGGTTGTGGTGGGTATGCCGACGTGGTTCGCTGCCATGCGACCGGCTTTAGAACCACCGAGCTCTGCGAGAACGGTGCCGACACATATATCATCTATTTTCGCGGGGTCGAGGTTGGGGAACTTGGCCATTGTGGCTTTGAGAACCTGGGATGCTGTTAGGGCTTGGGTCTGTGTACCGCAGGTGCTGAGGATGGCATACCGCTCCTAGAAGTTCATGCTCGTATGCATCGCGTAGTCCACCCTTCTTCGCCCTTGTGACTGGCGTCCGAAGTGCTGATAGGAAGACAACATCGTGGGGGTTCTTTTGGAGAATGTTCTTGAGACCCTTCTGGATGAAAGCCATTGTGAGACGATGGGCTGTGATGGAACGCTAAAGGACAGAGGAGGGTATCAAGAGAATAAGAGAGGCGAAGTGAAGTAACGCCGATGCTTGCGAGTAAGAGACAGAATGTCCTGGCTTTTGCCGCGCGACGAGGCCATGGTCGTTGTAAGCTAAGCTCCAGGTCCGAGGAAGGCGTGGAGCTTCGCTTCGGCAAGTGAGCGCGGGGCGGAGGAATGGCGGCAAAGCTCTCTTCCGCGTCATGCACGGAAAACAAACCCGCCGCATGGAAAAGGCTTCTGCATATGCACGATGATAGATCTAATTCGAGACGCTGTAGGAGGCTGCAAAGAAGGCAAGTCGATTTTGAATAGTTAGCTCAATCTACCTGTGTAGAACTCGTGAGTAGCTACACTCCCAAAGACGACTGCGTCAAGCATCGATCCTCGATCCCATCCGCACCTATATTGCCTCCGCCAAAATGCTCAAAACTCATAAGAAAATCGCGTCAGTCGTGTTCAAAGTCGCTAAGACTCAGTGACTCTCTATGCATGCCCCCGAAGTCACCGGTGTGGTGAAATCAAGCTCAAGAGCGAGCGGATAGCCTACGCGGCGGGGTATACGAGACGGAAAACGTCGTTTAAAACGAACCAGTTGCCCTCAGCGTTCTTGAGCTGGAAGGCCTGGGTGAAGCTCATTGGCTTGTCCTCGCCCGCAAGCTGTTCAGTATTAGTAAAGGCCGGGTGTAACGATACATGGGAACGACTTGCCAAAAGCGCACCAGTGACAAGCACAAGGATACCGTCATCGGCGGAAGGCTGAGCGTCGACGGTGTCGGTACGGTGTTGTATCTGCTGGAATGGCAGGTTCTTCCCTGCATTAGCCCCGTCCCTGTTTGGTAGGCAGGATCGTCGTTACCTGGAGCTTCTCTACAATGGCAGCGGAACCCTGAGTGCCTTGCGCCTCAAAGGTGAGCATAGAGGTCTCCTTCTATAGCATTTGTCAGCCGACTGCTGCTTTGCGCACACGGTACTGAGTCGCATACGTAGAGGGCACCGAGACCAGCGCGGTTCTCATCGAAGGTCTTGTAGTAGAACTGGACGAACTGCTCTGGAGCAAGGGTCAGTCGCGGTTTGAGGGATGGAGCGATCGTGGAGAGGATGTCGGCGGGGTTGTGCTTGCTGTATCCGGTGGTACGTACGAGCGATGGCGTTGAAGTCGGCTGTGGAGGAGTCAGTTCTGCATTGTACACATAGCATTGCGATATGACCGTGAACATAGCATCATGCCTTGGATCTCCCGCATCTTCCTAGTACAGCCTTGCGCCTACAACCAGAAGCTATGCACGTCCGCCGAGTGCGCATCGAGGCGGTGGTGGGGTAGTGGTAGGCAACTTACACATCTTTGCGATTTCTCGAACGTGGCTTGTCTGATCAAGAAAGGATTTGGCTACGGGGTGACTGAGAGGTACGCGACGACGATAGAGCGATGTGACGTGGAATTCTCGAGAAAGTGTTTGGGCTTTTGCTGTCACTGCCCGCCATCGATGGGCTTCGTTGGTGGGGCAGCCGCTAGGCTTGGAAGAGTTCGGCCCGGTTTTCAGCCGAAGTCTGCCATTTTCTTCGAGGCTTCGCGCCTGCTCTTTCCTCTCACACCAACGCTGGCCATCAACAGCTTCATGCAGCACCCATGTTGTGGTCAGCGTCGCGTCGCAATACTCATTGGTAAGTCATTACTATCTCTCCCAACTCCCTGCATTATGATGATCAACACAAACGATAACTTCCGAGTCAAAGACGGTGAAGTCCAAAAAATTTCAAGCTCAACAGGCTGATTGCCCATACACACTCTGTATTGTCTATTACATGGAGATTGCATATGCTAACATGTCTTCTTCAGATTGCCATGCACGCGACCGATGCTTTGCCGCTCAAACAAGCGCGCCGTCCAAATAGTGTACATAGTCAATCGAATACCGTTATTGTCGTTCATCCTTCCGAACAATCGATCTACAATTTACAATCCCTTCTTCTGGAAAGACTTGACAGAGTCGACAATCGACTGCTCGAAAGTCTTGTACTTGAGGCCAAGGATGTCGATGGAGCGCTTGTTGTTGTATGTGTAGAGGCCCTTCTCAGGTGTGCCTTCTGGGTAGTCACCGCCGGGTGTTGAGTCGCTCGGCAGGTCCTTGAAGTCGGGGAAGTTCTTCTTGATGATCTGGCATAGCTCCTTGTTGGAGAAGTATCCGGCCGTCACGAAGAAACGCTTGTTGGCTGCGTCTGGCTTCTCGAACGCAGCTACGTGTGCCTCCGCGACGTCGCGAACGTCCACCCACAGATGTACACCACTGGGTGGGATCTCGTCCTTGAACTTGCCTTGTGCCGCTGACAGGATGCGCTGGTTCGAGGTGTTCATGTTCTCAAGACTGTCAAGAGCGTGTACCTGATGACATGTCAGCGATTGTATCGCAGCGTGCATTGTGAGACTTACAATCGGTCCAAAAACCATCGGTGGGTTGATCGTGGAGACGGTGAAGTTGGGCTTCTCCTTCTCAACAAATTCCCACGCAGCCTTCTCAGCAAACGTTTTGCTTGCTCTGTATCCCATCATTGGGTTCTCTGTGGCCTCTTCTTGTGTGATCGGGTTCCAATCCTCCTCGGAGTATGCGTGTCCTGGCCAGAATCCTTTACTTCCGTTTACAATGGCGGCGAACGAGGATGTGATGACAACGTTCTTGACGGATGGCTACACGGTACCATTAGCATGCGAATGGCAGTTGTGCACTCTTCAGATTCAACATACCGCGCTCTTCTTGATCGACTTCAAGATGCCGGTTGTTCCAATGACAGCAGGGTCAATCAGGTCCTTGATCTTGTTAGCCAGCTGCTCAATGTTTCATCCCCCAAGCCCACTCACTTTCTGGACATCAGTGACGTTGAAGTGGAACGGGCTAGCAGTGTGAAGCACAGCCTCAAATGGAGGGTCTGAGATGACAGCCTTTTCGAATGCATCTGGTTGAGCGATATCCGGAACAATCGCGAAGCTCAATTGGCCCTTATCGACGTAGCTCTTGTAGGATTCCTTGATCTTGTCCGCCTTCTCCTGGGTGCGCACCGTGGTGACTACACTGTGTCCATGGTCTAGGAGGATATCGAGGGTGTGCGCAGCGATGAAGCCGCTTCCTCCTGTGAGTAGTACTCTTGTCATGTTGTTTGTAGGTAGAGTGGTCTGGTGTTTAGGTGTTTAGGGCGTCAAAGTCTAGACTCGAGGCTGTGTGGGAATGACAGCATATATGTAGCTATGACATCCCACCTAGCGCGGGGTAGAGCTTCCCCGAAGTTCGGATTTACTCTCTTTCGCCGTTGTAACTGCCGCCGTCGCTTACGAAACTTGCGTTCGTTCGTGGCTATATCCGCGGCTCGTTCTCCAGAGTATTGCGTCATGCCCGTCATTCATCGATGGGATACTTTTGGTGGGGCATACTGCGTCTTCGTGTCGCCTTCTCGTGGTACAGCAAACAATTGTTGATCTGCAGCTTCCGGTCTCTTTGGCTTTCCAAAGGGACTGT